ATCCCTGCCCCAGCAGCCTGGCCAGCCGCTCTCTATGCCACACATGCAAATGCATCATCACTCTCCTGTCCACCCTCCACGGCCTCTTCCTCATCAGCCCTATCTTCAATCTCCGATGCAACAACATATGCAACACCCGATGTCTGAGTCCCCTGTCCACGGGTTACCAGGACAATCACGCAGACCGCCAATTCCACAGCGGAGCCAAGCCCCTCCCCCGCCCGCACCACAGCATGAACATCAGCATACCTTCCAGGTCCAGATGCAACCGCAACCAACCTAGTGCTGAAATGGTTCAGGATATGGTTTTCATCCAATTAATGCAAGATCAGTTTCTCCTCTACCTAGTATATTTTGATTTGAATTTCATTCTAAACAACATCGGTGTTTATATCATTCTTGGGTTCTGTCATGTGTGTTTTATCGATCTTTTTACGTCCATGAAGTCTCGTATATCAGGTCGTTTCGTGGGCCTCTTATGGTGTTGCGCGCTTTTGTGTCATTGGCATTTCAGGCATTTCCTGTTTCCCTCTATTGTTCACTTAGCCTGTGGTTTTCTTTTTCTTTTTGCCTTTTCTCATATATTTAATGTTCTCAATTTAGTACATACTCGGTTCTAATCTCATTTTGTCAAATGTGCACCACTAGCCCTGTTTAAATTCCACATGGTTCCCTAACGTGAACTGTATTTCCTTATAGGAGCAGCTCTTAGTTTATCACCACGCATGCATACACCGATTACCTACTGTACGTACCTGTGTCAACTCTACGTACTATGATCTCCTCTGCCACCGCTTCCAGGTTGTATGAGAGCGCGGTCTCCAATCTTGGATGGTGTAGACAGGCCCTTATAAAGAAAACTCACGTATATCTAGAATCTGAGGACCTGACGCTCAATAAGACCACGGTTTTATTTTAGGAAAACCGCCGCTATGTATGTGATTAAATAATGAGTAGACACCAAACTGCCGCGAGTCAACATCTGCCCCAGCTTGCACATGAACCAGATCGAAAAATAAGAGAAAAGAAATCAGAAGGATGAAAAACAGTGCTTATCACTTTACAGACATGGGTTCCCCATATACCACTTTTGGGCGATTTGATGCAACTTTCTGCGATCAAGCTTGTTGGACCTTGTACGTGGGATTCGGTCGACAAGGAGAAACAAGCTGGGCATCATGTGTTTTGGCAGCGTGCTATAGACTTCATTCTGCATCGCCTCCACCAGGCTATTCACTCGGACACGATTTGTAATGGGAAGGAACGACATTTCCTGATCTGAGATTCCTGGAAGAAGGTTTGCTGGGTTATCCAGCAGGTAGATAAAAGCGACGAGGATGGGGCTATCGCCACCGTCAATCTCACCGAGCATATCGACGACGGTAAAATCGCCAGGCGAAAGGGTCTTCCGAAGGACGTATTCGACTTCAGTTGACTCAACACGGCCACCGTTGAGCTTAAGAAGTGTGTCCTTTCGGCCCATGTGCTCTACAGTACCATCGTGGCGATATCGACCCAGATCACCAGACCGATAGATGCGCGAGGTCGGCGCTCGTGACGGGTGGAGATCCGCAATCCACCGGGGGACTGTGCTAAGGAATCCCACGTCGGGTTTCTGGCAGAGGTCATCCAAGTACCCACGAGCGAGGTGGGGGCCTTCAATCAAGATCTCGCCAACAGCGCCGATAGGCACTGGCCGCTCAGATGAGGAGGGATTCGCAATCCAAATAGCGCCGCTACCGGATTTTCCGACAACGGCATTATGGCCTGCCTTGGGGTTGTCGTTGTACGCGCAGAAGGTGGCCGCCTCGCCCATCCCGTACTGATTTACCAGCTTCACATGAGGTCCCCATTTCATGAGGAGATCATTTGACATGGGCTCGCCGCCGATACAAAGCAGCTCCAGCGACGGGACGTCTTTGGGGCTGAGTTGGACGGCAATTGTTGGAGTCAGGAAGCTCATATTGGTGTTGGTGATATTGATATTTTCAATCAGAGCAGCTATGCTTTTTTCGGGTGTGGGGACACAACAACAGCCACCGGCAGCCAAAGCTGTGAGGTAATCGTTGTTACTGATGTCGAATGCATAGTCATCGAACTGAAATACACGGCTGTGTTGGCCTAGCCCGAGGACCTTGTTGTAGTCGCGGATTGCTGTGGCGTAAGACCTATGTTCTTGGATAATGCCCTTGGGCTGTCCCGTGCTTCCGGAGGTGAATAGAATTAGACAGGCATTATGAGGTTGGACTGTGGAAGCCAGAGGTCCTGTGGGAAGCTCTTTCAGCATGTCTTCTGTAATCGAGATGACGTTTGAGACAAGTGAGGCATATTTTGATGCATACTCCGAGGATGTGAGCATGATTTTAGCGTTAACGCGACTGACGACTGAGTCCAGGAATATGGGAGGGTCGCTGGCGTCGATGGATATGTATGCCCCGCCGGCCTTCAATATAGCCAGGCGAGCAATAATCGCCAAAGATGACTTTTCGAAACAACTGAGCACGAAAATTTCAGGGCCAACGCCAAGCCCGGTCAAGTAAAGAGCAAGACGAGATGTGAGATTATCCAACTCTTTATAGGTGAAGTTTCCATCCCAGGAACAGATTGCGGGCGCATCCGGGGTCAGTCGCGCATGCTCCAATGCCATGTCATGTAACAAGATCTCATGAGAGTCCGAAACCTCCCTCGTAAACTTTTGCAGGAGAATGAGGTCAAGGTCGGAGCATAGATCAAGGTCGCCCAAAGAAGTTTCGGGTGAATGGTATATGGATGCGACGACCTTGTTCAAGGAGTGAAGAAGGCTTGTTGCGAATTCTTTCGACATCTCGGGCGACGAGAAAGCAAGACTCGCGTGCAGCTTGCCATTGTCATTTGTCACGTTGAGCATCAGCTTTGGATTGGGGATCTAGACCGAGATAAGATTAGCTTCGCTAGGGTATGGGAGGGATTGAATAAGGATATGGAAACGGTACCTTTGAATTGGCAGACAAAGGTGCCTTTTCCAAATTTGGATGGTCACCACCATAGCGGACAGCCGAGGTGAGAAGGTGATTCCTCTCATCGGAAGTCCACCCTTCTTCAGGGTCGCTCGAGTTGATGCCTGCCTTGATAAGACAGAAATCTCGAACCAGGTCCTTCAATGGACGCCCCACGGAAAATCCAAGAGCGTGCGAATCGGTCCCTTGACATTTGCCATCGATATAGCACAGATTTGAGCCAGGATGGAACTCTAGGTACATGGTCCTCACAGGAGAGAAACCATGTACCACAAGTAACCAGCAAACAACGAGAATTGACTCGATGTCAAGACCATGAGCTAGTTCCGGATCCAGGTATTCCAAGTACTGGGAGTTGGCAGCCTCGAGTATATGCGATTCGCAAAGAGTAAGAGGAAGATCGACGGAGCCTTGTGTGTGAGAGGGAGCTTTCTTGGGTAGCTTCAAGGTGTTGATAGGTATAATAGAAGACACATGTTCAAGCCTAGTGATTGAGGGCACCATGATGAAGGATGATGAATGGAAGGAGGATATCTGCAGGATGTGTTCCAAGGCCAAATAAATAGATCTTATTCAAGTAAATGTACAGAGTTCAAATAGGGGGAGTATTACAAGGGTTCAGCTTCTCTTACCTTCATGGTGGATTTCTTTTTCGTGCATCATGCATATGGTTTAAATTAGATGCAGCTGTATTCTACACGGAGTTCTCCGTACATAATATGATCGACAATACATGCACACTTTCCTTTCCTTTTCTGCTGTGCAACTCTAAGTAGGTCGAATCCCGATGTCTTCGTTTTGTCACTGTGCATGTTTATTGGTTCTTTCAGCTGCACATCCTTTCTTCAGCTCCCCATAACTCGGGCTATACTGCGTCAGCTCTATTTCTTCGTTCATTCTTGCGTGTCTCACTTTTATTGACTAACCAGGTCACGAAAGTTTTAGCACTGTGTGTATTTGCGCAAGAAGATCATGCAGCTGGGGTTCCCCATGTATCACAGTGCATAGCTACCACTGGGGTTGGTCATTGGCTTTTAGAAAACTGGCCATCTATAGATTTCACAAATTATGATAACGCAAAACTAAGTGAAAGGTGATCACTATGCACTACCATACCCATGAGCAGTGGCGAGCTGAGTTCAGAGACAGATCAACACCAGCTATAGGAAAAAGCAAAGAGCTGTGGATGATGTGACCGAAGATCCCGTATACGAGATATCTAGTACTCTCTATATCACATGGCAATTTGGGCCAAGTTTGCCGAATCGCTTAACGGAGATCTAGTTCATGCCTTGTAATTACCTAAAAATTGGCAAACACTTCAAGAATGGCGAAGGTCATGCATGCATTGAATAATATCTAGCAAGGAACGGTGGGGCAGGCCTGGCCTTGGGCAGTCAGGTAGCCACCGACCCCAGCCCCTGTAAATCTTATATAGGGTATAGCCAATTAACAGGTGTCTTTCCCCGTAGACAACTGTGTATTCTGTACTCCGTATGATGCAGCTCAATCACTCACTCAAGTCGTATTCCCCCGGTGCTCGGACTCAGCTGTCATTTTGTCAAGTGTGCACAACTAGCCTTGTTTAACCTCCACATGGTAAGGTGCATACAATAATAGTCATGAAGAGTGGGAATAGTCCCCTTGTCATCGGGGAGTACTCCACTCGCTTCATAGACTGTATAGAAGAGACATTGTTCTTTTGTTTTCTTTTGTTCATGCTACTCCGTACTGATTCTCCCAATGGATGGTATGTACACCGCCTTAGTACCTGTCCACCGCTTCCGGGTAATTCTGCCAGCCATACCATGATGACTAAGCCCCGACGTCTCCCGCATTATTGAGCTCGGACCATTACGGCAGCCGACAGGGCCAAATTTGACAATGCTTAGTAATTATTTTCACCATCCATCCATCCATGGATCGAGCGGTCAGTAACTACCACTGTATTCATCTCGTTTGTGACTCAACCAGCCCAATCAACCCTCGAACTTGCTTGATGTCATGGATACCAACGCGCTTATTGATATCGTCCACGAGGTGCAGGGCCAGATTTGGGTTGACAGGGTGAATGAAACCTACAAAACGGGTCAACTCTGCCAATGGGTATCAACTTTCCATCCTGATAAGCTTCCCTGCCAACTTGACGGTACCTTTCACCATGGCGCATTTAATGCCGGTATGAAGATGGTCTTTAGCGATAATACTACCTGGATGATTCGTTTCCCTCGTGTGGGAATGATTTGTAATGACTATGCCGACGAGAAGGTCGCTATGGAAGTGACTGCGCTGAATCTCATCCGCACTAGCACTGGCATTCCTGTGCCTCAAGTTCGAGCTTGGGGTCCCGCTGCTAGCAATCCACTTGGCTTAGGCCCGTTTATTATCATGGACTTCGTTAATGGCGTGAGCCTTAGCGACCTTCTGCGGGACCCGAATTCCGAACGTCCTACTAGAGTCATGAGAGAAGACATCAGTGATAATGACATTGAAGTTATCTATAGGCAGATGGCGAAATTTCAGCTTCAGCTTTTCAAGCTCGATTTTGAACAAATCGGCAGCCTGCCTAATCCCAAATCTCAAGGCACTACTCCACCACGGCCGCTTACATTCAAGGCACATAGTATACTGCAAAATGGAGGGGTGGGCACTTTCGGTACGCCTTATTGTCTTCGTTTTCCCTTCTTACCCTAGGTATTCTTATTATACATTAACTAATGAAATAATATATCTAGGCGACTGAGCCCATGGTTTTACAACAACCACTGAGTATTTCTAATACGTTATTGGACAAGACTTAGAGCAACTCGCCCGGCAGCCGAACTCGACTGTTGGTTTCTATAATGCTAGAAGCAAATCCCTGGCATTCAAGGTCCTAAAAAGCTTGATCCCCGACTTAGTCCATCCAGAGTATGACCGTTGCAGGTTTAAACTAATCTGCGGCGATCTTGGACTAGCGAATCTCATTGTCCGTAGTAAGGAAGATATTACCATTGTTGGAGTTGTGGACCTCGAATGGTCATATATGGGACCTGCCCAGCTTTTTGGCTCGGCTCCATGGTGGCTTCTCCAAGATAGGCCCGTGAACAGCACGTGGGACTATGACGATGATGATAAGTCACCTAAGATTGCTGCTAGGTATTTCAGATACCTAGAGATTTTCATGCGTATCTTACAGGAGGAAGAAGCAAAAATGCCAGAGTATCAAGAAAGAGAACTCTCTAGTCTTATGAAGTGGTCGCAGGACTCCAGAGCCATGTGGCTGCACATGCTCGTTTTATCTGGCTTCAATGATAATCGCAGCTTTCCTTTCACCCAGCTACGTCAACATATACTGAGTGGGCGAAGCGGGAGAAGGAATTTGACAACCCGCCAGAACTTGAGGCATTTGGAAAACGGAAGGTCAACGAGTTAGATCAGTACGACGAAGCGTTGGAGAGGCTGGAACGGAGCAAATCGCTTGTGGACAGCGGGGATATGACAATGGACGAATTTGTTTCCAGTGCCCTAAAAGAGGCGGATTTTATCCCCTGTTCCTCATCATTTGTGATCAACGATGAGACAAAAAGAGATTTCGACACCGCTCAACCCGCACTTTCCGAGTCTGCTATCGCCTGTGGTCCTGGATCTATATAGAAACATTGGATGTACCATGGAAGGTGTGGACGGTTCCGGACTGCGGTGTGGATGGACCGTTGCAAACAAATTGTACAGAATATTAAGATATCCTTACCATGAACATCGATTCAATGATAGCCGAAGGCATTCGAACATTTGCCATCTGTTGGGATCACCTGTCACCTGACCCTATCTATGACTGCCATATCTTTCTCTCTCTCGGTCAGCAGAATGCAGTCCATTGTATCGCTCGCTCTTCTCCCTGTCCCACAATACTATCTGTCTACAGCGCACTAGTCACTTACCCCGCTCCATATGGCTACAGCCTACCCGAAATACTCCGTAGTGGTCTTCGTATTCCGTCCACCGTGCTATTACTATTATCGTACATGTATTCGCAGGCGGGTCATTCGGAAGGTATATCAGTTCACCGACATGGCTTACAGCGAGATTAGGCATGAAAGTGACTTGGCGCGGCGCAAAAGTACGGCCGCTTCACTCGCGCTGGCAGGACTCCTGAGGGGTTCATATCGCAAGAGAGGCTCTTTTGTCGCATTGATCCCAGAACGCCATTGACTGTAATGCTGTGTCACAGACAAATTTTGTTCGTCTGGAGTAGCCCAGCTGACCTAGTAGGCTGCTGCCTCGAAGACTTCGTCAAAATACCGGAGCTTCGGTCCCATTCTTGTCTAAGAATTACACCTTCGGAGCTTTACATCTACGTGAAAAAAAGGTTGCGTTTGAGATGCTATTATATATCTCTGGTACCCAACGATATAGTCCCCTGAGCAACCAAATTATGACCAAGGCAACTAACTCCAGGGTCATATCCATCCAAGCTTTATGCATGTGCGTTGGCCAGGTTGAGCCCAGCCGCAATGCGCCGCATTTGTCGACATACATACGCCTAGACCAAAGCTTCTAGGATATGATTTGTGCCACGTACGGTGGCTTTGGCCTTGACTGTTCGGACCTAGACGAAGGTACAGCTCAACAGGTCGCAGTATCATGTGAACACCAATCGGGTGGCTACCTCTCCGCATTCATGGCGACATTTGTGTATGTTATCTCTCATACATACAAACCCGGGCGTAACTCAAGCACAGAGGAACTTTCCAGGCCAATACATGCATGAGTGCATGGAGAGACATGATCTTTCGTATCTGAGTTTCACCGCGGGGCTATTGGTCTCTCGCCTTGTCGTTTTCCGAGACGTTGCCATATTTAAGAGGCCAACCCAGCAGATATTTAATCATTCTAACAATCTCCTCGAATTCAATCTCTAGTATCTGTCTTAACCCTCGGGCTCAACTTTACAATACCAAACTCACAACCCACCCACCACACCATCTACTTTACGTCCCACGATGTCTGATATTGATCCCAAAGCTCGAAGGGAAGTCAACGATGCGCTCATTAACTCTGGGAGCGCTGCCGTTGGACAGATGATGGACGCTGCTGGCTCCTCTATTGAGAAGTGTCTCCAGAACCAATTGGAGAGACAGAGACGCGATGCTAAGGATGCCCAGGATGCTAAAGAGAAAGCTGCCGAGGTGACTTCAAACACTACTGTTCGTCCTCAACCCCCATATCCCCACGAAGGGGTCAAAGTCCGTGTACTGACAGTCATCAATAACAAAAGGGCAGTTCCTCCAGCTAGATAAAAGGACCTACCTACAGCCCTTTCGGAGCCGGTCTACTACTAAGTAACTGTCCTTGCGAGTGGTCTATAACGGAATATCAGTCCGCAGTCTCTATCATTGTGCCCAAGACATTCTTTCCGGTCAATCATTGCTGTCTTTACATTTCGGATTTGTTCCTTGCGGATGATGTGGCCTTGCACTCCATAGTTCCCTTGTCTTATAGCTGGGACCGACCATTTTCTGGAATTTGGAGGAAGATCTCATATATTTAGGACCAGCTGGGGGTAGGAAATTGATTATTCGGTTTACTCTTTCATGTTTAGTATATGTACTCCGTACTCAAGACGAAATGTCCTTGTGACATATAGTAGAGTGTCGGCAAATTGTACAGCGTATCTTACCACTAGACCATAACAAAAACCAAGGTTCCTGTTTTAAGGCCTAGGAGGGCCATATCCCAGTCTGACAGAGAAATAAGGAAGTTAGTGAATAGATGTAACGATACTGTGTATTGCACTAAACCAAAAGAATCAAGGCTAACTCGAAAAGACAGTTCATAGATTCGCCGTTTACAACATTGTACAACTACTATCGGGAGTTTTAGAGACTATATATAGGTCACATCATCAAACTTATTCATTCAATGATTTATTAGTGATCTGGACGGCCTGCAGCCGCCCAGATGTCGTTGCAGAGCAAAACGACTAATTCTAAGTTCTAATGCTACGTAAAGTGTGACTGTAGAAGCTCTGGGGAAGATTGATGGTTCATTCTCTAGGGACCGAGCGGCCCACGTGACTGTATATTTACAGTCTAGCCAAATTAGACCTAATCTATATTTATTCTGCCGGTTGGATTATTCTGCCAAAGTTAGCCGACTACTTCTTCACCGCATTGGTTCTAATACCTGGTCACGTGACATGCACACTAGGTTATGATTTAATTGCTTCGCTTCGCTCTGCAATAAGGGAAATACTCATATTACAAACTATACTATAGGCAGACTAGCAATTTTAGACTACCCTAGGTGTAGACATTCGTTCATCAATCATATTCTCATCGGATATCCGGATATAAAAGTGAAATCACGCTCAAACTAAATTAGAGAACACCTCCGTCGAAATCAACCAACTCATCAAACGCCTCCATCCCACTCCCACTGTCGTGCTCATTGCTTCCACTACTATCTGCATTCCAATTCCCATGCCCACTTATCTCCTTCTCCTCCATCAACCCCTCAAAAGAACTCCCATCCGGCCACTCCGTCAAATCAATCCCCAAGCCAGGTGCAATCTTCTTAACAATCCCATCACAAAGCAGAAATGCCCGTCGCGCCGCCGGATCCACAGAAGCAGTCATATGAAGCCAAGCGAGGGCCTTCTTAGTCGCTGCAACAGCCGTAGTCAAATCCTTCTCCGGCAGCGGCGAGTAAGCCCCGGTCTGGGATATAGACGGCGTAGCAGGTGTCAGGAGCGGATCCGCATGGTCCGGGCTAGTGGGCGTATTTGGGTCAGAACAGCACGACAAACCCAGCAATATAGCCATAGTCGCCTGCATGAGGAAATGCAGGATGCTCCACCAGGGCGTGGTGCGGGCCAGCCATGCAATGTTCGGGTCTTCTGGGAAGATGGAGATCAGTGCGCAGGAAGCTTGCAGACAGTGTGTGGCCCTTTCGGACCGCACTTTTTTGCGCGCAGCGTGGTCGCCTGTTGGTGAGACGTGGCGGGGAGACTGGTAGATATGGCTTAGACATGGTCTGCAAAGGGTGATTCGGGCGGAGTAATAGTTCATTGCTAGACAGACGCGTTCGCGCACGAAGGGGGCGGAGAGGTCGTCTAGTTGGGGGTGCTTTAGGTGCCAGGGATCGGAGCTTGGGATAGTGAATTCGTAGAAGGGGGAAAGTTTTGAGAGCCAGCGGTCCATTTGTAGGCTGGATTTTTGGACATGGTATTCTAACTGGCTCGGGCCTTTGCGGAGGCCTTCGATACTGTAGACTTTGTTGATGAGGGCGTGGGTTATGAGGATTAGGTCGACAAGGAAGTTGAAGAAGAGGGATGGACAGGGTGGACAGGAGGTCACCCATGAGGGCGAGTGGTGTTGGCTGGGACTTTCGAAAATGGTGGAGCGGAGTTGGGCCTCGCGGAGGGCGGGATCTTGGAGGAGGCGTTTAGCATTAGGTTGATCGAATGTTTCTTCTTCGTAGGGAAGAGGTGCAGGGACGGAGCAGAGGCCTTCACCGACACAGGAGGCCCGGCCGTTCATTGATGCAAGAAGGTGCTCGAGGGAGTATATGGACCACCAGAGTCGGCCGCGAGTTTCTTTGGCGGCTTCTTTGGTGCGGTCGTCTGTTATGCGGAGGTTGATGCCGAGAGATATAGCTGAGTGGAGGGCCATGTTGGAGAATTTGGATGCTCTGGGGGAGATGAGGGAGTTAGTATGATGCAGAAGGAATGGAGGGTGAAGAGATTGAACCTACCGGTTGACCTGTCCCAGACAAAGCATGTAAACTGCTATGAGGAGCTCGAGTTGGATCTGCTGGAGGTCAGTGTGCTCGAATAGCACACTGCCCTGCAGACCTAGATGGCGCGCCCGAGTCAGGTATATCAGGTCTTCCTCGCTGGTGCTTTTGGGGTCATCTATGAGTCGACAGTAGCGACAACCAATAGCAAATATCATGTTGAGAATGGCCAGCCATTTCCGGTGTGGTGTGGATTCATTGTTGAAGAACTTCTGATACTGGGAGATGAAGGTCATCTTCCGAACTGCGCTAAATGTCGGATGAACGTTGGTCAGATAGGCATCGAAGTATCGGTCTGCCAATGCCAACGGGGGCAAAGCTAATGGGTCGCATGGTTCAACCAATGGAATGTCCAAATTGTCGAGATGATAATCCATCGTAGAAGTGGGAATCTGCCTTTCCAATGACTGCTGCTGCTGCATAAAGGCTGGATCACGATCACTTTGCGTGTGAGAATAATTCGCCACATGTTCCTGCGCACTCTTCATACCCACGCCGCTCTCCAGCTTGCGAATCCAATTGACCTCTGAATTCTTCCCAAAGAAGCCCGCAGCCCGGGTGTCCGCGTTCCGATCGAGGTCTTCGTCAACCTGGTCGATAGCATCGAGTGAGCCCATAGAGGTAGAGGAATCATCGAAGTCGAAACTGTTTCTAGGGGGTTTCTCACTTTTGGACTTAATTTGCCAAATGGCAAACGGTCAGAGTCGTGAACTCGAAACTCAAATCATAAGATCCGAGGCTTGGATGAGACCCGCAACTTCATCTGATATTGACTGGACATACCTTCAATGCTTTTTTGATTTTTCGAGCTGTGGGAGGGTCCACCTCGGCTTCGAGGTCTCTCAGAAGAGCTTCATATGTATCCACTCGCTTGGCCAAGGAGCCTAGTTGTTTCTGATCCCGCACTCGTTTGACTTCCTCGTAGTTGCAGCCGTTACTGTGATATGCACATTGTCCGCACGACGGGCGGATACCATCACATTTGATCTTGCGCTGGCGACAGGGCTGACAGGCCCGCGCTGCCCGTCGGCGCCCGTGTATAAAGGTGTCAGGACCCGCCAGTCTAGGAATGGCTACCTTTGGGGCAGTACTCCCGGATGCTGAGGGGGCTGGCATATGCTGTGAGAAGGCTTGTGCAGGGTATTGTGGCGAGAAGGGGATAGGCGTAGGATAGGGTTGTGGAAGTGCATATCCAGGTACTGATGACATCCAGTCGTAGTCCTCGAGAGTTGGGTCATTTTGATTCTCATGATTATCCATATCAGATTTATCAGATTTATCGAGATTATTGACACGAATATACGTTACTGAGGGTTGAAGAGGGAGGGTACAAGGTAAGAAAGGCGGAACAAAGCCACGGCAAAAACATTCCAGCACAAACAGGGAAACAACAATTGCTGATTTGTTTCCAATGTTTTAACTGTCAAAATATCTCAACTGGGATGAAGATGGACTAAAATGGACGAGCGTGGAGATGACATTCACTTGGCGGGTGGATGAACTGCCGATTTGACGTCAGACAACATCTCAACTTCAGCCAACCTCCAAGTCAACCAACTCCTACCTATGAACTCCTGGGGATCTGAGACTGTCCATAATTCGCTGTGGCGTGTCGGTAACTGTCACATTCCGTGGTGTTCCTCCTTGGTGTCAGCTTATACATTGCCCTGAACTTATCAACTTATCTGGACGATCTAGATCTATGGAGCAAATCCATACAACCGTGTCGCCACTCTGTGAAGGCAAATGTGCCTGGAGACATATGACTATGACCGAGATGACGAGGATGCCGAGGATAGTGCATCGTACGGTCTCCCATCAACATCCAACAGGTCGATACCTCTCAACCAGAACATCGTCCTTCCCAAGACTAAGACTCTCATATCGATCCAACATATCGGAAAGTCCAAGTCCAGGATAATCCTGCAATCCTTTACCATTCCCATCTCCAATCCCATGATACTTTTCCTTCTGATTTAACTTCTCAAGTCCATCAGCATACTCATCAAATCGATCACACCCCCTTTCCTTCGAAGCCTCATCAAACAAATCCTTCAACTCATCAGGCACAGAACTCTCCCGAATCCGATAGCCCTGCGCCTTTGCCCTGACCGATTGTCGGAAAATATGGAACAGATTCCTCCCCAGCGCAGATCGACTCGCAACAACCGAGAATGCACTCGAAAGAATGAGGAAATCCTCATCCAGCACATCAAACGAGTCTTGCTCGAGCATCGTAAACAGCGCCAGGTTGATTGCATACATCGCAAACTGGTGCGCGCGACTAACCCCGAACTCGCGTCTGTGGAGACGCGTTAGGGCAGCGATGCCGCGGGCCGCGCTCTGCGTTACTTCCCGCGCGTTATATTTTCTCTCAGGGCTATGGCGCGGCGTGCTTTCCGGTGTTTTGGGCTCGAAGGGTGTGGGCGGGACTTCATCTTCGGAGATGCAGCTGAAGAGATTTATGATGAGGGCGTGGTAGCGCATTCTGTGTGGGATGAGTATTTTTACTTTTCTTCCGGTACACAAAATAATGTGGGCATGCTACTCACTTCAGCAAGATAATATGCGGAGCCGGTCTATACCGCACATCAAAGTCCTCCGGGAGAAGATCGTGCCAGCGACGGATACGGTCGTACAGATCCTCACGGCTCTGGCGGTGGATAGGGCCGAGGCCAGTCTTGCTCCTGTGGTCTGCGAACATGTTGCGCGAGATATCGCGCGCAATCGTCGACAGGTTGCATGCTTCGTCGAAGTACTGACTGAAGAATGACAGGCGCGGGTCGCGGTGGGTTGGATATGGCTGCCAGAGGGCTTTGTCTTCGGGCTGGTTGATATCCAAACGGGCCATGTTGACATGGTCGATGAGACTTGGACGGAGGAAGGATGTGTGGACCATGCTGCAGGTGTGAGTTTGAGTTCGAAGGGTGAGGTGCTAGCGGTATTCACTTACGTGTCGACGTTGAACAGACCCCAAGCTGTGCGCTTGCACGAGATATCCATGTCCTGGGATAACTCAGCCGAAGCCATTCTAGGTCCTGTGCTGCCGACCAGGCCCAGTGCCTCGCCCATTTGGATAGCCTGGTGCAGCATGATATAGCCCAGATCGTCTTCGCGGGACATTGCATATCTATCTTTGTCAGAAAGGCCCTAGCCACTAGGACAAGATGTCTATACAAACCTCTCATACATCAACAACGTCCCCTGCAAACCTGGCAAACTAGGCTGCGAACTCTCTTCGCCTCTCAACCTCTCTGCCTCGGCAAGAAAACCACTCCCTTTTGAAGAGATATCGCCAGGAACAACATAAGCCTCGGAGAACTCAGAGAAGTACTAAACAAACCAATCAGCAACTGAACCAACACCAAACCTCAAACCGAAATAATGTGAGAAAGGAAATACCCACACAAGCATTACTGAGCACCGCATTAACCAAAAACGGGCTACAAAACTCCGACCCCAACACCCCCTTCGCCATATGCCTAACAAAAACCTCCTTGTCCAAAACTGCCGTAAACGGCCAATCCCACGCAAAATACAACGAAACAAGATGCGACACCAGATCCGCATCAGCAGTAACCCTCGTCCACGGCGCCGCAGGCACCTCACAAGGCGCTGAGTCACACAGGTAATGGATATCCATAACCTTCCTTCTGAAAGTGGGACCCGTACCCTCGACATTGAGAAGCTGGCGCATATCTTCCAGCTTCGCGACGGTTTCCTGCTTGTGCGCCGTGGATGTCGATGTATCAGTGGTTGATGTGATGGACGCGAGTGTTTCGTTTATGTAGGCGCGGATTTCATCGGCGGGGGCATTGTGGCGGATTATCGTTAGGAGATAGAGGGCATCTGCTTCGTTTGCTTCGCGGACGAGCTTGAAGAGGTCCGAGAGGAGGTCGCGGTGGTAGGAGAGCTCGTCTGCTGTGCGTTTTGCGGCTACGCGTCGGCGTTGGTCGAGGGATTCGTCGAAGATGCAGACTCTTTTGAAGGTCTGGCAGTTTGCGCAGGGGGATGTGCCGGAGCACTGGGTTGGGGTGTTAGTTGGTCGTTATATCCATATGTATAGATGTAGTGTAGAGTAGTGTATCATATATCTCACCTTCCTCTTCGACTTCTTACAAGCCAGACACGCAGTCGAAACTCTCTTCTTCCACGTACCAGAACCCTTACCTTCCTCGGTGGGTGGACTGCCATTTTCAAGATCATTTTCATGGTAGTTGTCGTGGTCATGTTCCTCCTCCGAAGGCGAGGGACCGGTTACAAGACGGCGGTGATGCCCACTCATACCGACATGAGCAGGTGGATTTCGGTGTGCTTTTCCTTTTGCGTTTGCGTTTCTTTTGAGCGAAATGTAGAATATAAGATGCAAATATATAAAAGATATTCGTCCAATATGTGAAGAAGCGTATGTAAAAAAGAAAGAATATATAAAAAGGCGTCAGATATACAGTCGAATATGTACTGTTGGCAATATACAAATAAACAATGTTGACACTGTACAAGATCAGGAATGCATATTGTTGCAAAGTATATTCCTGTTTCGAATGATTGTAGGACGATTTACTTGAGATTCTCCTCTGCTTTGATACGGTTTAGTAGGGCTTATTCTGCGGCGAATGACGTTGGGAGTATATCATGGGGAACTTTCCCCCGCCTATTATCATAGGTGTTCATTTGCCTGAAGGCAATGGCGATTTTGTATTTGAAATGTGTTGCTTGTATTTGAAGCTGGATTTCGTGATATCGAGGCTAAATGAGGTGTTGGAGTTCTACGCTTGGGGCTATATCGAGTTGATAGCGGAAGAAAGTACCGAGGCGTAGGCATACAACTACAACTACACTATCTACATACATGTAGGGATCCTTTGCAAATGAACAAACTTGTATTGGTGCATTGAGAATGGCCCGGAGCAACAGTCACAGTACTTGGGAATCAAAGTCAGGTCTAGACTAAAAACAACCCAATAGAAAAGAAAGAAAAAAGACGCTGGATTATTGTAATGTAATACAAGTACTTCCTTTGAATACTCCATGGAATCCATAGCCTCGGATGCACCAGTTAAAACAAGAAAAACCAAAGACTGCGACGGGTTTGCAAACCAGGCAGGACAGAAGAATCAAACGACAACATCTAGTGCTCGAGGATTCTCAGGCTACCCTGCACAACGCAGTTCTCAAGCACGGATCCAGGGGGAATGTCAATGGTGCTGCCCTCGGAGGCGACAATGATAACAGTTCCCTTGAGGGTGACGTTGCGGCCGAGGTTAACCGGTCCGGTAATAGTGAGGTGGTCCAGCTCGACGATACGAGGAATGCTGGTAATGCGCTTCTGGAAGTCGGAGACCTTCTTGAAGTCGGAACCGAGCTTGATGACGGGGACACCACCGAAGCGGTTGGGGTCCATGACCAACTGGCCGTGCTCGAGACGGTACAGGTCAGACTTGACGACCAGCAGATCGGAGCAGGTCTTGACGGGCAAGAAGCGGCGACGGGGCACGTTGACACCGTGGGCGTTGTGGAAGTGGCGGATGGCCGCACCGACGGCGGTCTCCAGCTGGTAGATAGCCTGATCGGCCTCACCCTTCTTATCGGCAGGAATAGATTTCTCGTTAGGGATGATCTCCATCTCCAACTCGTTCTCCTCAACGACACGCTTGATGGCCTGGACGTTCAGCCAGATGTTGTTGGTGTTGAAGTACTTGAACTTCTTGATGGACTTGAACTCGTTGACGTGCTCCTTGGGCACCTGAGCAATCTCGAGCAGGCGGACCTTTCCGTCGGAATCAATAATGGTACCACCCTTGACGTCAGCCTTGGTCTTGTCAGTCAACTCCATGATGTACTCGGCCTGGGAGTCAACCATGTGCTGCAAGATGCGGAGATCAACCACCGCACCGAGGTTGTCGGCGTTGGACAGGAAGATGTACTCGATACCACGCTCAATCAGCTTGTCGAGAGTGCCGGAGTTGTACAGGGACTCGAAAACGTCACCGTGTCCGGGAGGGTACCAATCCTGGAGGGGAGAGTCGAAGCTCTTGGGGGCGGGCAGGAGCGAGTCCTTGATGATGCGGGGGTAGCGCGACTGGTTGAAGGTGATGATGTCGACGTTGTGGCCCTCATACTTCTTGATAATGGACTGGGTATCCTGATCGGTGTTGAAGGAGTTCATGAGGACGAAGGGCACGTTGACGTTGAAGCTACGGTTAAGGTGCTCGATCTGGCGCACAGAGAGATCGAGGAAGGACATGCCCTCACGGACC